GATGCGGTGCACCGACGACATTCGAACAAAAAATTTTAACAGAAAATTTAGAGTGATTAAAAGCAGTTTTTGACTGAAATTATTTACTGAACTGTACATAAAGAAACCAGAAGACAAACTGATATACAATCTAAATTAATTCATCCAATAGACAAAACACACCAAACCGCTTGCGACCGATATGATTCCAAGAACCAAACCGCTTGCAACAGTGTATTCATCAATCTGCTACATTTGGCTGCATTTGTCATTTTCAAATTTTTTGTAAGTGTTATTCATACATTGAAAACCGATATTTTCTGCTAAAAAACCGGTTTTCGAATTTCATAATTTTCTCCAAAAAACCGGTTTCTAAAAACCGACAAACCCTACTAGAAATGTATAAAAATTGACATATTTATTAACTTTTTATGGGGGCGAGACTGCCACGAACTTTTTATGGTACAGTTGTGGGGGAGGCCTCCTCTTTCGATCCCTTCCCCCCTTCGGGGGTGGGGGCCATCAACTAGACATTTACCAAAAAACAAGCTATTTTTAATTATCGATTTTTTAAATGTACGAAATATTATTAACATGATGGTTACATTGTGAAGAGTTTCCGTTATGCATAGTTCACATTATCGCGATTCTATAAATTCTTTAAATCCTAAGCGTTTTACTAAAACAATAATATTCAATTTTATCTAGTTCACTCGAACCGGAACCTCATAGATTTGTTTTTACTTCCTTTGTTTTATTTATTTTTTTTTTTTTGTTATAGTAAACCCACCTTCAAACAATAACAACGAGCTTACCATTGCCCGAACAACTTCCTACGTATGTATAGATTGTTGTTGAACTTGTAAAATACCTCAATACGCATATTTATAACGTGTTTCGTATAAACGCACAACTTGCCTAACTATTACGATTCTCATATAAACGATCACTAATAAGGTTGCGAATGTTCTAGCTCACTCTTTTTCGCCATTTCTCTCTATCTTATTTCCTTTGTTTTACATTTGCAATAAAGCAGGCGAAACACTTGAAACGAATGCTAAACATTGTCAAATTGTATGTATTAACACAGAAAAAAATCTGAAACTTAATATTTTAGTATCTTACCTGAATTTAAATTAATCGGTTAGAAGTCGGAAGGGATTTGTAAATATTTGGCAAATCATGGTACCTACTTACGTATACATATATGTAGAAATTATTTTTTTGTACGACGCAAATTTCAAGGATTCGTCATTTTTGAAATGGTAAAATATTATGTTTACTAAAAGTAAGTATCTAACAAAAACAAATGTTTTCATTAATCATGTAAAATAAAAGAAATAGAATACACATTATCATAATAACAATACTGCGAAGTAAACTACAGTCGAACCTGGATAAGTGAGAATTGGGTAAGCGAGAAAAATTTTTTAATGAGAGTATTTGCCAGGTCCCGTCATTTTGCCCTTCTAAAGTCTCTATAAGTGAGAAACATAAAACCTGTATAAGTGACAGTCATTTTTCATGCGTGAACCTCTCTAAGTGAGATTGCTACTTGCCTATACCTCTATAAGGGACAGTTTACTTTTGCTATTTTATGACTCGTTCTTAAGTTTCAAGAGACTCTTATTTCATTCGAATGACCAAATCTGCGAATGACCGTGTAAGTCTTCATTATTTTATTATAGCTAAATGTGCGTACCGACTTGTTTATCAATCTTATTACAGTCAATTCATAAAAGCAGTTGCCAAAAAAGGTCCTGTACTTCCTCATAATGTCTAAACGAAAACTGAATGTGTTGTCGAACCGTATTTTTATAGACCTCTATAAGACAAATTCCTACTGTAACTCTGTAAGCTAGAAACTCGGGTTAGTGAGAAACCTCTTTAAGAGAGAAACAGATCGCGGTCCCTTTAGTTCTCACTTATCCAGGTTCGACTGTATATCTTTAAACAAGCGTCTTTGCTCTCATAAATTCCTGAGAATGTTGAACATTCTTTAAAGTCCGATGGTAGGAACATGGTCAAATTCCGCTTGTCTGCATCTCTTTCTGTTACACATTAGTTAGTGTAATGTTATTCCTTTTTCGTTATTAGTGTCAGTTTCTTCAGTCCCTGAAGAAGGTAACTTTGTTACCGAAAAGTGCTTCGGACAACNAATATCGGCTTTGGAAATGGTTTGAGCCGGTTCATCTTTTTTGCTCCATGACCTCTTGCGTTTGATGTTGTTGTATAAAACCCATTTTTCGTCCCCAGTGATGATGCGCTTCAAAAACGGATCATTTTCGTGACGTTTGAGAAGCGAATCGCAGACGTCAATGCGGCGACACAGATTTCTCTCTGTGAGAACATGGGGAACCCATACATCGAGCTTCGAGGATAATCCCAGGCCTTTGAAGTGTTCATAAACTATTGAATTTGATAAATTTAACCTTAATCAACATCAACCAATGCCTTTATCGCGTCTTTATCAGCTTCAACCGGCCTTCCCGAACGTGGTGCATCTTCGACATCAAAATTGCCGGATCGAAATTTAGCGNTGTAGTGGATAAAATGGTCAAATTTTCCGTGCAGTACTGTACGGATTATACGCTCCTCACCGGTTAAGAGTTTGGCTGAGAATTGTCTCCTTTCTTTTCTGACCTAGTGCTGTTATTTTCTACTTTGCGCCGGCAAAACTGAAGGTCACATCGCTACAGAAAGTAAACGAAGTATACTTAGGTACGCAAAATATCAGCGTCGGCTTTATAAATGCTTGGTTGGAATTGCATCTTTAAATAAGCGTCTTTGATTTTCTAAATTCCTGAGAATGTTGAACGTTCTTTAAAGTTTTATGTTGACAGCATGGTCACATTCTGCTTGTCTCTATAAGTGAGACAAATTCCTCCTGTAACTCTGTAAGCTAGAAACTCGGGTTAGTGAGAAACCTCTATAAGAGAGAAACAGATCGCGGTCCCTTGAGCTCTCACTTATCCAGGTTCGACTGTATACCAATTCTTAAGCTTTCTTTTGTTTTTCTGTGTATGTTTTGCCCTTAACGTTGTTGGTTGCAAAAAGTGAAACAAAACCTACATAATCGTAAAGTAACCTAACCTAACCTACTGTAATAATCTACAAAATCTCACCTTATATTTTTGATTAAAAAACTGTTATAATTCGAAAGGTTTAAGCTAAGGGTACTGCTACGCAACGTAGTGAATCCCATCTATACTGTAGCTACTTATAACGATTTAAAAGAATCCAGCAAAGTCCTTTTCTAAGAAGGATATTAACCTAAGCCAAGCTAAATCAAGTTGGCGGCGTGGAGTAGCTATCTAGGTGATAAACCAAATAGAACAAAAAGTTTCTGATAAGTACTCTGACAAGGGTTGTTTTGTGGTTTACGGCAATAAAACATCTTTCTTAATTTTGCTTCATTTCTTCCTACTGTCCTTCCAAGCACTTCTAAAAATATGGATATTCCACAGGTTTTGATTACCTTTACCACAATTCGGTTTAATAATATTAATAAAACGATATGGTACGTAACTAGTAAGTTTCACTATGAACTACTAAGTATTCGAGTATGCCTCGACAATGTCTTGAATTAAGGACTAACTGTTTCCTAAATATACAGGGGCGTAGCCACGAAGGGAAGTTTGAGAATTCAACTCTCCGCATCCACTAGGAAGTTTTCATTTCATGCATTTGCTGTCGAGTTCAGACCATCATCATCACCATCATAGGGTCTTCAGTACCAAAACTGGTTGAACATACACCATGCAGTATTTCCTATCCTGAGCTAATCTACGCATTTCACTAAAACTAGAACATCCCACTATTTATGAACAGTAATCTCATCTAGGTCTACCTCTACTCCTCTTAACTCCTGATTCTGTTTCTGATATGTCTCTAAATAGCCCTTCATGCCTGAGAAGGTGTCCTACCAACCTATCTTGCCTATTTCTAATTGATATCCACAGACAGCGTCCTCTGTTCTCTTATTCATTTTAATACCTACTCAGTTCGAACCTTCTGTATCCGGGACATCCTCATCATTCTCCCATAATACCACATTTCTTACACTTCCAACCTTTTCTTTTCCGTCACTTCCGTCGTTCACGTTTCGCACCCGTACAAAGCCGTGCTACATACATCATACATCTTTAAGAATCTTTTTCGAATTTTTAATTCTTTTTGTTGAAGGCAATTCGCTGTCCTGCGCTGTCTTTTGTTTTATACCTCTACCGCTCCTTCCATCCTGAATTATCTGAGTTCCTACATACCAAAACTGAAGGACTTCTTCTAACCTTTCGCCTTCTTTACTTTTTCCCTACGTTTCCTTCCTTGCGAACCAATATTCTTGTTTTGCTTTTATTTATTTCCATCTCATATTAGGAAGTTGAATGACGCATTAAAGAACAAAAAACAAACATAACAAAATGTAGATTTTCAGCATTTTTCATCCGAAACCTCCGCCCCTTTGACAAATTCTTCTTACACCACTGGACTAATATGAACCCAACCCAAACTAACTTCACTACCTCATTCCCAAAGTCAGATTTTGACTATGTGCCCATACATCCATAACTAATTAATTATTATTAAAAAATTTCCTTATTCTGAAAAATCCTCAAACTCCAATTAAATTAAATGAAATTTGAAATTTCATGCAAACTAAAATTGCAAAAATTAATTTTTAGCAAAATAAGAAAAAAAATAAGGAAAAAAAGATTAAAAAAGTTGCTTAATGAAGAAAACATTAAATTCGATGACTTAAGGAGAGCGAAACTCCAAGGTTAGGGTTTCGTGTCGGGAAACGCATATAAATGTAGGTAGCCGTGAAGAATGCCGACTTTTCAATAAAGTCAGCCGTACGCAGGTGACTAGATTACGTTTTAATCCTATTTCTTTTCCGTAAACCAATTACGATTGGACGTAGTATACGATTGATTACTCAGACTGCATTCGATTTATTTCCGGAGTAAAAATTGCACATCCAGTATTCTATAAAACACGGATTACTAGATTCAAGTCGACTAAACGATTAACAAGTCGTCTATTGCGATAATTAATTGACAGTTAATTGTGTATTATAATAGTGGTGTTTGAAGGATTTGAAGACATTGCTTTCAAAACAAAGGAAACAACAATTGTTGGTAAGTAATAATAAAGATATTCATTTGTTTTTATTCTATTTTGACTTTTTCTTTTTTAACTATTCAGAAATAAATTTAGAATCACAATTTCCTTGCTAAAGACTATAAAGGATTGTTTCAATTTTTGCTGTTTTTTTTTGTTACTTATATAACTTCAGATTGCTACAATAGAATCTTTAAAAATCTATTAATAATTTTGAACATAAATTAATACATATATTTTATTTTTATAAT